AAATAATCTCACACTCTTTTTGCATCACTGTCATCTGCAGAAAAGATCAAGTTTCAACAGGGACCAATTATTTCAAAGAGTTTTGGTATTTATGTAAGCAGCAGAATGTAAAACAGAACTCTCCGATATCGACTGAAGATAGCAATAGCAGTATGATACAATGTAGAATGTGCTCAATGAGAAAAATCATAACAGAAGACAGAAGCCAAACTGGCTGCTGGAAGAACAATTACTGGATGCCCGTTGGCAGCTCAGATGTAAATAAGAGTGGGCTGGTGCCTTAGCTGTCAGATACTACACCACAGAGGAAGATCAGACTCCAGTAGTATACTGCAAAAAAATGCAATCTTAACTATTTATCTCAAGTTGCATGGAGTTCTTGTTCTAGAATCAACTGAAAATCATCTGAGAAGCAAAGGTGCAAGTGGAATTTGAAACTTGTGGATGGATAAATTATTACATTTCAAGCCGAATGACAATTTTTGTTGCACTGTGTGAACATATCTGCCAATGTTGGATGGTGGGAGAGGCAATAATCAAGAAAATTTGATATTTTCCCTTGTGCAACAGAAAACTTGCGATGGAGAAAAGACAAAATGCTGTGGAATTTCTGAGGGAAAGTGTGTCAAAGATATCATGTGAGATAGGTGTAAAGGTGGGTGTCTGGTTTATGACAAAACTTAAGTTGGTAGACTGTTAAATGTGTCTGCAGCCTTTGTGCTAATCTTAAGATTTTTTTATTGACAGAATAAAGTTGTAAAGACTGCTGAGTATTGTGGATTTTCACTTCAAAGTGAATGTAAAGAAGCATCAATATTTTACTGTCTATCTACACTGTACGTTAAATCTAATAATTTTAATATATATTACTGTGTGTTGTCGTTTCTCTGTCTTACCGCCCACTTAATTACAATCATGCACATGCTTACACACTGATGCACACATACAGACACACACAAAAGCACTGGATGGTGAGAGAAGATGTTCCCTCCTCATGCTCGGTGGCTATGAACTTCGCCAGAGCTGTTTTAGGCTCGCATAAAAAATTCAGCACTCTCTCTTAGCAACATTTGCCCTACATACAGCAAACACACATAATCACACATGCATCACAGCATTATTGGTGGTGCACACATGTGCAGACATGAAAAAAAAACACACACACAGATACAGCACATTCTGGCACACTTGATGACATAAGCCTGAATTCATGTGTAAGCATAGGGCTGGACAATAAAACAATAACAATAATTATCGCAATTTTCTTTTTCAATAACAATATAATAAATGTTCAATAAATATTCAATAAATGTTTGATTTTATTCACTTGAATCATACACAAATTAGGACTTCATTTTTTAATAAGATGTTTATTTTTCTGAGGAAAAAGGACTGAAAAAAGCTTTTACTTAATTTTACTCATGCATATTTGTTGACAAAGATTTTATCATAAATGTTTTGTATGTTCTACTTCAGATTTGTGAAGTGATCACCTGTTTGGCTTCAAGTGTTGAATATAAAGAACAGTTTAAACCACAATTAACCATCAGGTTTCTTCAACAAAAATCAGCCTTTAAACATGAAAGAAAAAACTTATCGTGATAATTATCGATATCGAAAGATATGAAACTTTTTATCGTGATAACATTTTTGGCCATATCGTCCAGCCCTATGTAAGCAGCAAGACATCACAAAGGCTTTTATATGGTAAGTAATGATCTAGACCAGGGGTTGGCAAATAAGTCTGGCATTGGGCCCAATCATTAGATGGTGGGCCAGAATATCATCAATTGACCATTTATATTCCTACATTAGGTTACTGTGTGTGCGATTAGCTCTGTTGGTAGTGCACAGGACTCCCACTCTGAGAATTGTGTGTTCAGTCCTTACTTGCAGCTAGTATTTTTTTCTTCCTTTTTCAACAAATTGATTGTGAAGAGATTTATTACATATTCACAATTAAGCATGTGCAGGATTGTGTACATCCCGGCGATTGGTCCACATCAACCTATGGACGCTTATTTTCGTGTCCCCAGTATCTCCTGGCAGAGAAAATTCCTGCTTTTCTCATTCAGGGGAATCCAAGCCAGAGACTCTTGAATTTCCTTCAGAACTTTTCAAAGTAAAAGCTCTCAATTAAACATGACATAAAGTACTGCTGCAAAAATGTTCTCGCGCATTTATTTTGTAGGCACACTTAAGTGATTATGTGAGTAACTTTTGCTATTAGATCATCATTTCAGTATCAGCCACTATAATTTTTTTTTTGTCGCTATCAAAGTAATATGGCCACGGGCCAGATATTATTGCTGGCCGGCCTATCGCTGACCACTGATCTAGACTCTCAAGACACACTGTGCATATGTAATGAACATTTTATTGGCAAAAAGTCTGGTTGCCAGCGACTGTTGTCAAAAAATGTATGCATCATAAAGCCAGCTGTGTGTGTATTTACATGTGTTTCTGCACAGGTAACTATTTTAACTGTTGTGTGTGCATTAACATTTTCAAACTCAGCGCCTGTGTGCATGCCTAGATCTGCAGACATCTCTGCACACATCTCCACAGCAAGCGGGTCAACACCTCAGCTCACCCATCCATTTTCATTAGACGTTAATGACAGGAGTGGAGGGGTGGACGAACCAGAGAGAAAGCAAGATTGAGTGAGTGAAAGGATATAGTTATGCTCCCAGTGGAAGGACTATCAAACCACTTTCTGCTGTCCTCAACCATAAAACTCCCTCTGCTCATATTACATAATCCTTCCACTACCATATACTACTACCACATAGTCAGCTATTGAATGTGGCGGGTTGCTTGAAATCAACATTACCTTTTCCACTGTGTATTTATGATATTGTTAAAGAGGTCTGAGCAGCAAGACAGAACATAAAAGCATGTTTTCCACTTGAGAATTCAGCTCATCTTTGTGTGGCTCAGTCAGCATGGGTTGCAACACCTTTGCCAAGTCATCTCCATCTGAAAAGCATTTGGGGCACCTGTTTATCCTGGCGGTATCCACATGTCTACAGACAGTGGTCTTCCAATTGCAGTTTAAGTTAGACCCACTCCAGAAACACAATTTCATCCTCGCTGCCTTCACCGTGCTTTTTTCAATCTGCAGTGTATCTAGGTCAGCCAGTGTACACAACCAAGCTGTGGCCATGTGTGGTCAAGTGGTGAGAAGTGAGGAATTGAAAGATATATGAAAGATTTGTGACTAAGATGTTAATCTGACGAAACATTTGAGAACAAACAGCTCCTTAAGTCTAAAATCCTTGCTTCCTCCTAATTTTGAAGAAATCAAAATTGGCTGCTGAAGGTAAAAGCAGCAATATAAACACACAGGGTAAGGAGATTTTTCTTATTTGCATACTTGGTTCGACAGATCCTTCATGGCGTGCGAAAAAGCAGGAGTTTCAGATCAACAGCAGGAGAAAGGAAGAGACATCACATGTAAGTGAATAGCTGGAAAGACCTTAAGTCAAGATTTAATGCTCTTATACAGGCTGCAACTAGTTATCATGCCTCAGCATATTTTGATGCTGTTTCATATTAAAATGAAACTTAATAAGAGACATGACTGCATCCACTGTCTCCACAAATAAAACCTATAAGGAATGACAAAACCAGTCACATTCATCTATCTCCGTTATCCTCAATACTTGGCCTACTTCATGAACAATCTAGTTTATAAGCCTGTCTTCTTGCTTTGCGAAGATCCTGATATTGCCTAACACGCTGTGAGTGCTATAAAAGACCATCAATCTATGATATCATGCTAAGCGTATCCTCATCCTGTTGTGCAGAAGCTGTCACAGATGGAATGGGAGCATTTGCAGGAGGGTGAGGACAATGAAATGAAGATGTCCACTCATGCTTGAGTTATCCACAAGTAAGATGTGGAAATGATCACTTCAATTGTGCATCTGAGAGTGAAGTAAAACATTAAATTACCCATCAGGCTCATGAGCGATACTGTAGATGTTTAATACATTTGCAGGATACCATAACCTAGAATCTAGCCACAATTAAGTATGGAATAATGATACCTGGAATAAGTCAATCACGCATTGGATTTTGATGGAAATGCAACACATACAGCATACTAAAACAGATCAGAAAAATTTCCTATAGCTGTTAGACAACAGCACCACCGGGGAACGGAAGCCTCTCCTGTGGGTAGCAAAAGCAATTTTCAAAACAGCTTATTTTTATGTTAATCTTAAATTTAGCTGTTTTTGTGTTAAGGAGAATAAAATACTACAGCCAAATCAATGCATGCGTGGAGCAGTGCGTATCTATATTTCACACTACAGGTGTTGAGGTTCCTATAATAAACCCTAACTGGACCTCAGGCCTCAAAGTAAACAAATGTTGTCTTCCCTGCAGATTATTATTTCATTAATCCATTTGATGTTTGGAGCAGTATTGGATGAGGTGCCCCAGCAGTGGGCCATTTCACTGCACTCCCTTTCTCTAATTCTCTAATGTAGTAGCATATTTAACAGTGAAGACAAACACCACTAGCAGTGTAATGAACAATGGTTAAAAAGCCTTTGGCTTCCTTTCAGTTCCATTAATGTCAGTCAGTTAAAAATCCATCCCCAACATAGTAGCGATAAAAGCTGATGGTTTAGCTGGGAAATGTGTGCATGCCTGTCAGAATGTCTCACTGTGTGTGTGTGTGTGTGTGTGTGTGTGTGTGTGTGTAAGCATGCTCTGAACCTGCTTGCATGCCATGCATGTTGTGAGAGAGAAGCTGCATATGTTCTCTCCACGCTGTCATTAAGCATTACAACCCCTAAATAACCATGGCACAAGAACGCTGTCTTGCCATTAGTATTAACAATTTCCATTGCACAGCTCATGGTCAAGTAAATTGATGCGAACACACACACATACACACACACACACACACACACACACACACGCACACACACACACACACACACACACACACACACACACGTGCAGACTAAAAATAGCCGCTGCCTTACCTTTCTGTACACTATCATGTTGGGGGACTCATCCGCTACCCCGTTGGTCCCCTGCCCACCACTGTTGGTCTGCGCCATGATCCAGTAAGTAAATTTGCCACAGGAAATGTCAGGTGCTCCTGTGGTGGACAGAATTGGTCCATCAGAAGAACAATAAAGCAGGAACATAACTTGCCCTTACCTTAACTACTATTTGGCTACACATGTTCACATGTTCACATTTCACAAGGTCTTGACAAGGACATTTTTTAAGACAGCCTGCTGATTTTGGATAAGGTATGGTTACAGGTAAAATGTGATATCCCAGTAAATCGGGCAAAAGTTCAACTTGAAGAACAAGGACTGGCACCATGTAGGACTACTATCACTGTCTTCTCAGGTGGATTCATTGTGCAGAAAAATCAATGTCTGAACAGTGATAACCTTTTACTATTTGTTGACATCAGAGCATTCATCAGCAAAACTCACGTCCTACTAGTCACTTACTATGGATGCAGCCTAAGATTGCAATGGCAATATAAGGTGAGGTAAGATCCGGACCCTGACAACAATAAATGCAGTAAAACAACACATCATCCCTGGAGGAGGTACTCTACAATGCAGCTGAGATACATCCATTCGGGTAGAGCAGCCATAGTCAAGACGTGCAAGACTGTGCAAATGTAGCTTAACTAATATCGCATGCACGTTACAGCTTGATCATTCTTTCTTCCCCTTACGACACCACACGACATCTTTGGGAGGTTTAGTCTGCAACACTAAACATCCTATAGCATGCAAACAGCGAAGTCATGTAACCTGCTCTTCACATGAGGACGTTAGCGCCACTGTATTGTGTTTTTCTAACACAAGCCGCTGCCCGTTCCAGCACCTTGGACAGCCACAGCAAAAAACGCCCGTTACAGTCCCTCTTCTTAATCACGAATAGCGCGTAAAATACACAGACAATACAGCGACATCGGTCACCGGAGGAGAAGGGGGGGGGCTTACCTGAAAAAACACGCAGCCCGCTATAGGACTCCTGAATCAGAGGTGGAAGCCTGGTCTTTGGCGTTCAGTATGTCAACTGGCAGACATAGGAATGCGAGGATTATTCATTGGCAACGTGAAGGGGCAGACATTCGGTGGACACTTGGTGCGGTACAGCTCTCTGTCTCTGTCGCTCCTCTCCTATTCTCCAAGCGATGCTCAGAAGCACGGGCGCGCCACCACGGAGCGCCGTGAACGCGCATCGATCCATGACCAATCGCGTGTGAAGAATAAATTACAACCCGTTTTGGAGACATACAGCTATTCTCCAGCTCAAATTGCACTGCTATATGCACTGCAGTGATATGCTAGGCCGACATTCAATAGACTTGCAGTAGGCTATATTAATATTTCAACAACCGCAATCTTTATCAAAGGTTAACAAGGAACAAACTATAGCACAGCTTTTATCCCCCTTTTTTTCTAAACCTGGAGAAGAAACTATGTATCGAATGTGTAGCCTGTACCAGAAAGAGCTGTTATCGCAGGTGAACGAAATAATAGCCTATATTCAGTCAGAATCTGTAACTAAGTACATTTAGGCCACTCAAGAATTCATTTAAGCAACATTCCGAGGAACTTCTGCTTTACTTGAGTATTTTAAGTTTGTTTTATTTTATATTTCTACTCCACTAAATTTCAGAAAAACCTACAATGAGCATGTAAAATACAATGCAGTTATGTACTAAATTAAACCACATAACAGGTAGGCTACAATTAGTTCCACGGTAGCTTGTTACAACGTTAAAGTGGTGCTTCCTGATGCCTTGATGTAGGCGATCAGTAGGCTATTATTTAATTATCTAAAAATGTAACACTAACAGATCTGCATCTGACCTTTGATCTGCAAAGTGATATTGTTATGTTTATTCTTTGGGGTATTGCTTTGTAAAGAAATATATATACTGATACAAATAGGATCTGAATACTTCTTCCACTACTTTCCTTAAAATACAGAATAAATGTAACAAATTTTCTATTACTTGTAAGATCTTTGAAGTCAAAACTCTAACCTCTAATGGTGTATCAATGGACTTAATCCTGGTGTTCAACTCTCAATAAAGTGCCGACCCATGTAGTAGTAACACCTAGGAGCATCTGTTATTGTATGAGCATCTGATTTAAAACTGCATGTCACCTATAAGTGTATGATGTCACCTCATCAAAGCAGTCCTGACATTTTTTTTTTATAGTTTACCTTAGTTCATTGATTCATTCTTCTTTTTTTTTACTTAAGCAACACATTTTCAGTTTTAACTGTAAGCTAATAAGAACACAATAATTAAAATAAATACAACTTTACTTGTTTTTAGTTTTGAATGTAAATCAGCAATAAACACCAAGGCAGCATTACTGAGAGATCATCCAATCATCTCTCTTTTTTAGTGTCAGCAGAATTTGAATCCCAAAATCCCAAATTTGCATTTATTTCATTAAAATTAATAGTTGTGTATGCAGAGAAGTTGAACATGTTTTTTTCTCCTGCATAATATAAGACATTTCACTCAAATTTAGCATTAGTATTTTACAGAACTTTCCATGAAATTGTGTTTGAATGGAAATGTCAGAAAACGTTATATATTAGCTATGAGCTTCTGTGATTCAATGCATCCAGTGCTGCAAAAATAAATAGATAAATAAATAGAAAATCTCTCAAATGCTGCAATCTGTGGCTGTGAGGTATGCAGCAGTCCAGGCGTGAAAGATGACAGATGTGCCCCTTCTCCCTATGTAGGCTACTGTATGTGCCTGTATATGTTTATTTTCTGTCTTCCCTTCCCCTTTGCTCTCTCAGGATTGAAAATCTTTGCATAAACCTATACATTCGGCAGTTCGATTCCTGGCTTCTCCCTGCCCGCATGTCAACGTCTCCTTAAGCAAGATACTGAAATTGCTCCCGAAGGCTTTGCCATCAGTGTGTGAGTGCGTGTGAATGAGACATGTAGTTTGAGTGGTCAGAAGACTAGAAAGGCACTATAACATTTACCATGATGTCCATATTTCATCTGATCTTCTTATCTCCTGTTTCCTTAACATCTGCTACCTTAATCATTTAGTTGTGTGCTATAGCTTTTTTAAAAAATATATGTGCTGCAAGTGGGTCACCCCTCTCTGGCAGTTTTCTATGCCTCTTTAAAATCGTGCAACCTCAATGCTTCCATATGTAACCCACCCATCTCAAACCACAAGTTTATTGGAAAACGATTGAGAAAGTTCTTTATATTCAGTTCAACAGCAAAGTCATAAATGTTAACTGAGTTTTTGACATTTTTTATTCTGACTTGACTGGCTTAAGACTGCACTGATAAAGGTACTAAATTATTTTCATCTGGTTAGTGATTCAGGAAAATTATCAGGCTGTGCTTCAGGAAACTAATGCAGCCTTTGATACCACTGAACAAAAAAAACGAGGTTGGCTGTCTGCTATAGTCTTCAGTTAGTTCAGGTTGTATAAAAAGCTGGGGTTATGTTGTTGACATGCAGTCATAAATGAGTGAATCACTATGACATGCAGATTTAGGGCGGTTTTGGGGCATCTATTACCCAACCCCTTACAGCTGTCTTTAGGCCAAATTCTGTAATCCTGAAAACTACTCATGGATGCACAAAGACTAAATTCAGAGTTAGAAATGTTTGCATTATAATGGCATCATATTTGAGCTTCAGCAGCCACATCAAGGCAATAATTGCATCAGCCTTTTATCATCTACAAATAGCAAGTTAGTTATAAGTGTCATATCCCTAGAAGATTTAGAGAAACTCATTCATGCCTTCATCTCAGCAGAGTGGACTTTAGCAACAGCCCCTTGTTTGGTTTTCCCAACAGATCACTAGATCCCTGCAGGGTCTGCAGGGATCTAGGGATGCTGCTGCAAGAACCATTCTTACACATTCACACTGGCTTCCAGTTAGTTATAGAACAGATTTTAAAGTGCTGCTGTTAGTTTAAAAATCATTTAATGGCTTAGGGCCAAAATACATGTCTGATATGCTTGAAGAATATGAACCCAGTCTGCCCCCAAGATTTTAGGAAGCAGTAAACTAGAAGTGCCTCCACACCATGTTGGGTTTAGCTCCTATGCTGCACATAGAATTGAACCACCTCCTTGATGAAATGAAATGCCCCCCAACTTTAGCCACTTTCAAATCTAAATTAAAGACGTAGCACCTTTCATTGATTATATTCTCTGATGTACTTACAGTCTCCTCCAAAAGTATTGGAACAGTAAGGCAAATTCCTTTGTTTTTGTTGTTCACTGAAGACATTTGGGTTTAAGATCAAAAGATGAGTATGAGACAAGAGTTCAGAATTTCAGCTTTTATTTCCTGGTATTCACATCTAGATGTGTTAAACAGCTCAGGACATACCACCGTTTGTATTAGACCACAGCATTCTTAGGTCAGCAAAAGTAATGGAACAAATAATCTTAAAGTAAATGACATTTAATGTTTGGTGGCATAACCCTTGCTTGCAATAACTGCCTCAGGCCTGTGACCCATCAACATCACCAAACTGTTGCATTCTTCATCTGTGATGCTATTCCAGGTTTTTACCGCAGCTTCTTTCAGTTCTTGTTTGTTTTGGGGTGTTTCTCCCTTCAGTCTCCTCTTAAGGAGTTGAAATGCATGCTTTATTGGGTTAAGGTCAGGTGATTGACTTGGCCAGTCTAAAACCTTCCACTTTTTTCCCCCAGTGACGTCCTTTGTTTTGTTGGCAGTGTGCTTTGGGTCATTGTCCTGCTGCATGATAAACTTCCTCCCGATTAGTTTCAATGCATTTCTCCGTAAATTGGCACACAAAATGTTTCTGTACACTTCTGAATTAATTCTGCTGCTACCATCATCAGTTACATCATCAATAAATATTAAAGAGCCTGTTCCAGAAGCAGCCATGCACACCCAAGCCATGACATTACCTCCACCATGCTTCACAGATGAGCTTGTGCTTCGGATCATAAGCAGTTCCTTTCTTTCTCCACACTTTGGCCTTTCCATCACTTTGGTGGAGATTAATCTTGGTCTCATCAGTCCATAAGATTGTGTTCAAGGACTTTTGCAGCTCATCTCTATACTTCTTTGCAAATTTCAATCTGGCCTTCCGATTCTTCCTACTGATCAGTGGTTTGCATCTTGTGGTGCGGCCTCTATATTTCTGCTCTCTGAGTCTTCTTCCAACAGTGGATTGTGATACCTTCACCCCTGCACTGTGGAGGTCATTGGTGATGTCACTTACTGATGTTTTGCGGATTTTCTTCACAGCTCTCACGATATTTCGAGGCGTCTGTTGCTCAGTACACCAGTAGTTTCTTTCTTTTTCAGGACATTCCAAATTGTTGTGCTTGCTATGCCCAATGTTTGTCCAGTGGCAGTGGCAGTTCCTTCTTTTCTCAGCTTGACAATGGCTTGGTTTTCTCCCATAGACAGCTCTCTGGTCTTCATGTTGGTTTATCCACTTTAACAGGAAATGCAGTCTTTATAGGTTTGAACCAAGGATGAAAACTAGAAAACTGAAAACTAGTCATGCAGAGCTATTTAATGTTTGGACAATCAACCTAAAAGGCAACACCTGGGCAACAAGAAACATCTGTCAGTCACATGTTCCAATAGTTTTGCTCACTTGAAAAATGTGTGGGTTCAAGGGTGGTATGTCTTGAGTTGTTTAACACATCTAGATGTGAATACCAGGGAATAAAAGCTGAAATTCTGAACTCATACTCAGCTTTTGATTTTAAACCCAAATATCTTCAGTGAACAACAAAAACAAAGGAATTTGCCTTACCGTTCCAATACTTTTGGAGGGGACTGTATTAAAATTGGGGACATATATTACTGTTTTATTTCAATTAATATTTTGTGTGTGTGTATTTGCCGTAATTTAATTCTATACATTATACATTTTTGCATCCATTTAATTATATTTTTAAATGTTGTTTTAGCTTCTGTGTTGGAAAGGTTTAATACAAAAAACTTCCCATGCCGTATGATGATGCCACCCATCTATCTTCCCTCACCCTGACTTCTCATACCTGCTCCATACCATACCCTGCTCCCCTTGTAAAGAAGGACAGTTACAGCCATTTTTCACCAGTAAGAACCTTTTCCTCAAAGCAACGTTAGGTCAAGCTAACATTTTACTGTATGGCTTTAATCAGCAGACCACTAAGTAGTGTTGTAGTCAAGACCGCCAAAACCAAGACCAAGTCAAGACCAAGACCAGAGTTTATCGAGACCGAGACAAGACCAAGACTTTTAGGGGCTGGGACCAAGTTGAGACGAAGACTGAGGGAGGGCGAGACCGAGTCAAGACCAAGACCAGTTCCCCACATTACATGACACAATAAAATGTGGAACAAGATCAATGGTACTTCTCAGATTGATCTGAAAGATCCACATTCCCATTAAAACACCCACATACAAACACTAAGAGCTTAAATCAACATAAGCATCTTTATTCAACACTCCATGCTTACCATCGCGGAGAGGGGGGACAGTTGTTAACGGGAACAACACATTTTCAATTAGGATTATTGGTTGCATTTGAAGCAATACATTTTTCACAAATAAATCAGACAATGCAAAAGCAATTTATTGATATTCCCAAAGTTATGGTCTCGACTGGAACAAGACCGAGTACAAATGCGAAAAGTGGTCTTAAGACCAGTCTCGAGTACTACAACACTACCACTAAGGTATCAACAGATAATTGGTGAAGCTTACATCATAGTCAGGTTTGTCCAACTCAAATACCACATGTTCCTCAAAGGTCAGTGAGGTTAGGGCAACTCATTCAAACGAAAGCCTTTGCCTCTAACGTTGTAATGAGGACCATAGACAAGCCTGTATCAAACCAATTCAAGCCAGGGTTATATAGACTATAGACCACACACCTCAAACTTTATTTTGAATGTATCTTTGTTACAATGTCCTTGTACAATGGAATGTCTCACTTTAACAGTAAAAAACTGCTTTGCAGAAAAAAAGATCAGTCAACTGTACTACACAGTTTCAAAATGTTATTGAAGGGTGAGTAAAATGCTCTGCTAGTAGGGCCTATATTATGTGGCAGGCATTTACACTTACAAAAAATTCACCAGCAGCTAAATTTGAAGACTATCAAACTATAATAACTGTTTGGATATAATGGCCCATAATATAGTACCATAGCCGTATTATTCATAGTTTTATTGTCTATTTTAAAGTTTCCAATATTTAATAGTTGTGCTATTTACTAACTTCTTAACAGAGTGATGTTCATAGGATGATCTTTCGGGTGAACGGTCCCTTTAAGTGGCTTGGCGGAAAACTCCAACCCCCACAATGCACCGGTCCATTCTTCGTCGTCGAACAAAAACGCGGAAACAAAAGAAATAATCAGTTTGTCAAAACAAATAACAGCGAGTCGACAGAAAGTGAGCGTAGTTGTAGCTGACAGCTGTCAAAGTAAACACCGTAGCTTCGCTTACCCTGTCTGAAAGGTTTGCCATGGCTTTGAAGAGAATACAGAAGGTAAGTTTATTCGTCTTTTCTTAACTGATTTAATGTACAGAAAATGTTGGAGCGATACGGAAGCGTCATTATAGCGTTAGCCAGTAAATCATCCAGTAGCATCTGTTTGCTAACCCTAACGTGGCTGAATATTGTGCCAACGTTTTGTAATAGATTTAACGCTAGGTAATTAATTCCCAAGACAGATTTTACTGAAAACAAGTCCACTGTTCGTGCCAGTGGCGATGAAAATACAGAAGCCAGTTAGCTTAGCTAAGCAGTTAAACTTAAATGAGCTAACTTCGCTGCCAGCTAAAGTTGGCCTAGCAAACGAGCAGTGAGGAAGCATTTTAAGGTGTGTTCCTGGCTACTTTTCAATGTATTTTCATTTTCCGGAGTATTAGGTAACTTAGTTGTTCGCTAACCTTAGTTTACAGTTTAACAGTATTCTCCCTCATTAGCAACATAACTATATCAATGCACTACATTGCGGCGGAACTGTGAAATTCTTAAATTATTGTTTGCTTATTTGTACAGGAGTTAAATGACTTACAGAGGGACCCTCCAGCTTCATGTTCAGCTGGACCTGTAGGGGAGGACAGTAAGTGTTACAGAGCCTGATAATGTGATCATGACCTGTCACGTTTTAATCTGCCATTCTTGTTCGCAATATCGTATCAATAATGTTCTCACAGATTGTTTATTTATCTTTGTTTCCTTTAGTGTTTCACTGGCAAGCTACCATCACAGGACCGGTGAGCTTTTTCTGGATTAGTTTACTGGATTATTATTATTTTTTTAAACAAGCTGCTTCTGGATCTGTAGACAATAGTGTTTTATGTTGACTTCACAGCCCTTTCTATTCTGTTTGGAGAGCACAGACTGGCACACTCTATCCCAGTGTTACTCACTGAAGCCCATGGCATTACTGAGACAATAGGATGTCTTAATTTAAACAAAGATTATTTTTAACAAACAAAAGAAATGCAAAACTGATATTAATGCACGGTTGCTCTCTCATTGAAAATAGCATTTTATCCAATAAGGATACAGTATTAGGCATAATTTAACATTATCATTTACCCTTCTATTTCAGAATGACAGCCCATATCACGGAGGAGTATTCTTTCTTTCTGTCCATTTTCCCACTGACTATCCCTTCAAACCACCAAAGGTAAGAGTATTCATCTTATAGATTGGTTAGCTCAAAAGAACATCACCTTGTTATAACAGCCATCTTTCACTATTGTTTTTATTTTATAGAGTATATGGTTAATCAATAATGAATCATTTGATACAGTCCTACTCACAAGATTTATAGTACTTATAAATGTGACCTCTGACAGACAGCCCAACCACGTTCGGAATCCACTTAAAAAATGGCTTATTTTACCTAGTGCTGCTTGTTTTTTTTTCTCATAGGTTGCCTTTACAACGAAAATCTATCATCCAAACATAAACAGCAATGGTAGCATCTGCCTTGACATCTTGAGATCACAGTGGTCACCTGCGCTTACAGTATCAAAAGGTAACTTATCTATGTTTTGCCTGTACATTACAGGAGCACTGCATAGAATCTGGTTTGTAAGTCACAAGGAAATAGAGATTTTTAAAATGTCATTTGACATACTTAAGGGTAAATTAGTATGTTGGTGCAAAATATAACATGCGGAGAGAATTCAAAAGGTGGGTATGTTGCATTACCTCAAACATAGTAAGGGTCCCTTTGGTGAAACAATCCACAGTGCTGTTACCAAATCTGTATTCTTCCAAATGATTTCTTTCCACCACCTATGAACACAGGTAACAGGATTTTCAGGGCTGATTATCCAAAAATTATCCTCTGACTGCACCCGTTGTGCTTTTGTCACTGAAAATTTTGAAATTGCACTGTATAATTGGAGGAGCAAGTGGGGGGATGTTCAAATACCTTTGATGAAAGTAGTGCCTAAAAATACACTTTCATTTCAAGGACCTTAACTAACGGGATTTTGATTTAAAGGTGCATAAAATCAAAGTTTTGATTTGTATTTAAATTGGTATATGGAGAATGAGCTAACAAGTTGAAAAAGATGTTTTTAATTTAATTGAAACATGTGAGCATGCTGATTTTTGGTCTTTTTTCTGCCCCAGTTTTATTATCCATATGCTCCTTGCTATGTGACCCAAATCCTGATGATCCACTAGTCCCAGACATTGCTCACATCTACAAATCAGATAGACAAAAGTGAGTATGAAAGCAAAAGAATTTGGCATATGGAACAACTTTAAATCAGTCAACCGTTTTTTAGAGACCCATTCTGATTTTCTTTTCTCCAGGTACAACAAAGTAGCCAGGGAATGGACTCAGAGGTATGCAATGTAAAGGACTGAAGTTTCAGCAGCAATGACGCATCCCTGAACACCTCAAAATATAAGGTTTCAACTGCTCATCCACACTGGTTCTAGTTGAGGTGTTTTATACGCTTGAAGCACTTTCTGTACTCGGACTTTACTTGACTTAACCGTTTTTACTGTTTTATTTTATTTTTCCCTTAAATTGGCATTACTATATTATTATTATTAGTTGTGGTGAGATGGCCTGATTGTATTTTTCTTTTAATAGATTGTACAAGACTGTACTGAATTCATTTTTCATTATTTTGCATTAAAAACGTTAATCAAAATGAATTGGCAATACACATAGTTAATAATTTCATTTAACCTACCTTGCTGTGCTATGAAATGTTTGGTTCAGTATACAGTATATTTTTATAACCATAAAATCAGCCCCTTAGTCTATTACTTGTATGGCCACTTGGTGGTAGTGTTTATTTTTTACCACCCAAATCTTTACATAAGGCAGTTTCCTGGACTGTTAATATTCATGTGTGTGTTAAATTTAATTCAGGTCATTTGCTAAATGGTTATTCGTGTGGATAGAGGCTATTCAAGTGTTTAGCTTTAGCAGTGGAATGGAAATGAGAAGAGCTGTCCTGTCCATTGAAATTAGACCACCCATTATCATCACCTCTGGTTGCAGCACGGTTGCTGTATGGTGACAAAGCTGGTGTACACACATTAATTAAGCAGCTCACACATTTATTCTCCTCAGTGCTATTTTAATGTGACTTAACCAGACTACTGGGTTTAGTGAGAACATGCTATGTCTGTTTGCCCTCAGCTTTTCTTTTCTAATAACCTGACAGGAAAAAAAACATAGTTGGGGATTCCTGATCTTTGAAATGAAATATTAAGTAATCATGCCCTAACTTTGACTGGTTTGCTTGCAAGTTTAGGTGAAAAACTCAGATGTTAAAGCTGAACTCTTTAGAAACAATGTTTTCAAATCAGGGTGACAGGTACATTCAGCTTTAATCCCAGATGATGGAAGATGAGGTACTGCAACATTAGGGTTACTTTGCTGTGTAATGAAAGCTCCAGCTGTCAGATTAAAGTTGTCAGTGTTAGGTTATCTAAAGTCTGACATGGCTGGAAAGTGACACTCACACGAGTTGCTGTAAATATGAAGAACAACAATGATGACAGGAGAACATCGCTCCACTAGTCTGTCAGGTCCCTGTTGTGGAGGACTTCACAAGATGTATGTAAAGAATTGCCAACAGAAACAAGTTAAACTAAAGCCATAAAAATGTTATTTAACATATGGAAAACTGCTCTTAACAGGTCCATAAATCACTGGAAACTGCCATTAATCATTTCCTGGCCACAGCATGAGAATAACTCTGGAATTATATTTCTAGGGGGATTTGTATACATTACTGAGTTCAGTGACCTTTATCATACCTCCTGGTTCTGTATTACTTAATTCAGCATCAGCACGATTCACACACTCCACATTTGTTTTGGTTTCTCTTTCCTGTATTGCTTCCTTTTACCCACTCTCAGGATGTGTAGTGTTTCCTCTATAAACCAATAAATTGGTTACATGGGGTGTTATTATAAACTGCCAGTCTGAAAAAAATGACATAGAAAAACTCAAGTCAAGCCTCCCTTTGTGATTAATCGTTTATTGTGACATTTCCTCATATCAACAGTATTGACTGACTTGTAATATAATTTCCAGCTCATAATAACTATGATTTTGTTTGCTGTAATGGGGTATAATCCCTGAACAATTTCCATTAATGAGACATAAAAGTTTTGCACTCCACGGGTCCAGTGAATTTCTCACGTTTTGAAACCTTCACAAGAACCCAGGGGGAGGTAGATGCTCGGAAAAAGTGTTTCTGGGAGGAGTCCCGTTTTTTTCTTTTTCTTTTTTTTTGCAAGATGACACGTGAAACTTTCCTCAGGAGTTGGTTGGTATCATGTTTGCTGCGTGCTGTGCGGGTCTCCGTTAACTCGGCAGACAACCTATAGCGAGTGAACTCCTGCCTATTTTTATCAGTCTGCCTAATGGGGGAAAACGAAGGGGTCTGAAGAAACTGCAGAGGAAGGTCTCAACTGCGCTGCAATGAGCTCGCAAAACAGCGCGAAGTGACGGAATAAACAGTAAACAGAAGTCCAACGCTTTGCTCCAGCTCAACTTAACTTTGAATAAAACGCAGTGGCCACGGGAGAAGTTGCTGCGCAGCGCAATGGCTGCTCAGTGCGACGTTTTAAGCGGATACCTGCAGCAGTCGGACCAGGGCTCCAACAGCGAGCGCAGCACCGACTCTCCTCTGCCGGGATCAGAGGAGGATCTGAGCGGACCCCATCCGCTGCCAGATCCGGAGTGGACTGAGGAGCGGTTTCGGGTGGACCGTAAGAAGTTGGAAATCATGTTATTAGGTAAAACAAAAAAACAAGCACAAAGTTAGTGGCGCGTTCAAGTATTTTTACGTGTTCAACTTCTGTAACGTTACACGTTTCATCTCTGTAATTGTAGCATGTAGTTGTTTCCATTATGCTGCACACTTAAACAGCCCTCTGACGACCCGTTGTTCATTTTAGATGCGTTTTCAGTACAGAATTACTACTTTCGCTAACTTGAACTTTTAGGACTGCTTGTTAGCATGACCAGGAAGCAGTGTGCATAACGAATCAATTAGAGCAATTAAGTCGGGCCAAATAGCTTTGAGCCCTCTAATAGTGTCACCACGCTATAAACAGAAGAAAAATGACCACTGGTATGAGTTGCAATGTGTTCAGTTATATGGGCGAGCATGTTGCTTAAAACTAAAGTTTAACAGAAGGGTTGAAGAGGTCAACGACATGAGACAGTCCGCAACTATCAATGATGTATCCGTCGTACTGTGCTTGCATGGAGGTAGTAACATGCCCCGACCACAAGCTGTCGCTATGCAAACTCCCATGGTGTGCATTTGTTTTGAGACTAAACTGAAATTGACCTGACCGTGTAGTTTGCTTACTTCTCAGTTTGCACGCACAGAAACAACTGACACAAAAGCCCTGGCTGACTTTAACAAAAACAACTGACAGTTGATAAGTATTCTTAGAAAGAGCCTGTGTACATGTACAGTAGCAACTAGTTTCATTAGAAAATGACTAATATTTACATGACTGTCATTGGAAAGCCTGATTCTTTAAAAAACAAAAACGTCATCTATCTGTTGTAGGCATTACACTGTCATGATGACCTTTTCCGGCATGTGTTGTGTTGCTGTGTTTTTGTTTTTGGTGATAAAATTGATTCACTCGTCCTCTAATGATGTGGAAGTGGCAGTGAACGGTTAAACAAGCGATGACAGGCTCATAAAGACAGGGCCAGGCCAGTGTCTGTTGAGAGGTCTCTGGAAACTCAGAGGTTGAGGTCATTTATCACACATTTCAAAACACAAGAGTGTGGAATATTCAAGCCTTAGGTAAGTGGGCTGGATTCTTAATCAATTCCACAGGAAGACAGTAAGTCAGAGCTGAAAAACAGCCAAACAGGAACTTAGAAGGAACATTATCGGCCATAGTCATCCTGTAAAAAACAAGACATTAAGTAGTATTACTGATGAGTCTGATTGTCTGTCTGTAATATTTCATTGTGCAGTAAGTTTGTCACTAACGTTTGGAGTAATCCTCAGCGAGCAGCTGGTGTTGAAGTCAGTTTATCCTTTATCCTATACACACAGACACATGCACGAAGTTCCCCTTGAGAATGTCCTGGTTGCTGCCTCGCTTCTCGATACATTCCTTAAAGCTCCATGTCATCCTTAACTCTTCCAGGAAAACAACTTAACCGGAGGCCGGCCCTAAATCCGCGTGTCCCGGACATACCATGCGCCACGTCCCACAGTGTGCTTGACTAAGGGTGTCTGTGTGCGCGTCATTATGTATAATCTATCTGGTCTACTGGGTCTTTACAGTATGTTAGTTGGGTCTCGTATCTCTGCCAATTGCTGCATCATGACATCATGGCTGACATTGCTCATGTTGACATTGCAGCTGGGTCGTAGAAATAACGGCTGCAGTGTTCCACTGTCTTTCTAGTCAGTTGTAGGTTCAGGTTTAAATACCACTCTATCTAAGCTGTGAAACTGCTTTGACCTCTGGCCTTCAGGAAGAATCCTGGATGTCTGGTTGCATTGTATGTAGCTTGGTTATGTCTTAGTAGACATTACACAGTCCTAGCATCTGTTGAATTTTTGCACATGATGCACTAATGACTTACAGTCATGATCTTGATTTGTTTCAACTCACTGGATCAGAGATTCTCATCTCTTTTTTTTCTGTATCTGTCTGTAAGTGTAAAGTCAAATCCTAATAAATAGCTCTTTTTGTCTCATCCATTTGGGTCAGAGCTTTGTAACATCTGGCTGTGTTTTGATTGGATAAGCTGTATTTGACGTGGTACATCATGTTCTCAAGGCCAGAGTGGTGTGGAGTTGGACTATAATGAAATAATTTTATGGGAACTCCAGTATATTTTTACTCAGTGTTTTATTGTCTGACTGTATCTCTGGCTTCTCTTTCCTGGAAAATGAAGTGCTCTTGACCCTCGGCGAAGAGCCACAGGTCGAATCATGCTGCAGTCACTTCCTAAACAACAATAGCCCAGTATCTCAACGTTTTGCCAGATCCAGGTAATATGTCTGTACTAGTTTGTGTTTTTGGAGACTGCAGTGCACATCTGGTTCAGAATTGATATATCATTGGTGTTATGACTGCAGATATGTTTCTGAGATTGACATACATTTTATAAACTGGCCATTGGAAACTCTTAAAATACTAATGTGATTTAGCAATTTGCACAACCACCTCTTTTTTGAATTATTATTTCAATGGCTAATTTTTAAGTGAGGTGCTGTTGCACTTGCTTGTGTACATGGCTAAACATTCATTCAGTCTGCAAATGGATAACACATTTCTGCCCTACACATACAAGATTAAATAAGCAATGTGGAAAAAACACAAGACACATTTAAAAATGGGCTGCAGCTTATTTTTGTAATCGATTAATCTGCCAGTTATTTTCTTAACGAATTGATTAACTGCTTATAATATAATTTTTTTTATATACGTTGTGACCTATATAAAAGGTCACAAAATAGGGAAAAATGCTCACGTCTTTAAATGTCTTGTTTTGCCTGACGAACAGTTAAAATCCTAAAGATACTCAATTTATAATATAAATGTAAAACAGCCACAGTGGAACTGGAGCCACAGAATAGATGGTCATTTTGCAACTATTAATTTAAATAAAAATAGTTGCTGATTCATTTTCTGTTGACCAGCTAACTGGTTAATAGACTAATAATTCTAATTTAATTAATTTAAGCTCTAATTTAAAACAGACAATGGGGGGAAAGTTATTACAGCTCGAAGATGTTTAGGGTGAAACATCTTCATGAAACTTGTATAATTTTGTTATGGATTACATTGAATCGCTAAAATTCAGTTTAATTTCCATCCAGTGTATAATAATCAAACTGTATTGATCCTTTTTATGTGGTGTCTATTGTACTTGACTTGGGTGAACAGTACCTGAAAACTTAGATCAAAAACTTAGCTAATTGATGAGGTATGATTAGGGATTATGGTGTGTGATGCAGGTTAACATAGTTGTAGGTTTGTTCAGACAAATGACCCTTGTGTGTTTGCCAGATTTCATGCTTTTGTCATGGACTTCTTGGGTAAAAGAGTTTGGTCAGTTTTAAGTTTTAAAAAGAATTACAGAGGTGACCTACTACTACTACTATAAGGCAATTAGAATCAAGTTTCTCCACAGATGACATGTTCACTGATGTTGTTGATGTTGTGTGTTGTGTTGCCTCACAGAAGAGCTGGACATTGCTGTGAAATCTCTCTGCTCCCATTTTCTCCCTCTGGCTGCAAGATAGGAAATCTTTTGAAAGGTTTCAGGAAGTTGTCACATCTTCACAAACAGAAATGGCTTATAGCCAGACAGATGACAAAACAGGCTACATAAATGAAAATTGTATTAATGAATACATGTTTGTTTTATATATTTCATGTATTCATGTCATGAAGTTAGGAATAACTTGGTTTTAATTGTATCAAGTTTTTACTATTCTGTCAGTAATTAATTCATTTTTTTTTTCATTTGTAAGGCTCATTAATTTGATATGGCATACAGCCAACCATAGTTTCTATGGTATGACCAGAGAAATCTGATCTTATGTAAGTGAATTTACTTCAGTATAACTGAAATTTTGGGCCATAATGGCAATTAAAGCTTGATGGCTGCACAATATGGTAGAAATAATACCGAATTTATTTTGACAGATATTAGGATTATTTTGACAGTATGATTCATTATTAGTGAGAATTATTGCACCACAATCTTTTCCACTGGAAAAAACTATTAACATTGGGATGATGTGACATTTGTTCATGTCTGTACAAAACAAACATTCACACATTTTAACATTTTACTTCATCAAAAAACTGCAGCTCCTGCTGTTTGGATATTGCACTTGGCCATATACCGATTTTGATTAATTGTCCAGCCCTAATTAGCTTTTAATCAGGAATTTAAAAATATCTTCCTAGTAATAAACCTTGCTGTACTCAGAAGGAAAGGGGTCAGAGTGGGACATCAGACTGGGGAAGAGTAATAAAGTCAGGGGTTGCATAAATTGTAGAGAATAAAAATGACCCAGAAGCACTCTGTGCCCATTAAAATATGTGTTGGTGACTCACCAGCATGTCTCCACACTGAAGCAAAATTCTAGCGTATGCTCTTAAACTAGCTTTATTCGGACAAGCCGTATTTTACTCCCCTGTTCTGGCAAAAGTTGCATCAGGAGAAAATTGGAAATCGTTAAATGCTTAGCCATTACAAATTTACTGTCTCTCACATTGGCAGGGACACAGGTTCCTGGGCTTGGATCAGTAAATAGAGTATAAAGTGACGACAAAATCTCACCCGGACAGCCATCTGGGTTTAACTGTTGTACTATTGGCACCCTAGAATAGGACTCCCAAGTTAATGGCTTGGAGACCGTGACACAAGCTTGAAGGCTTGAAAGATAGTTTTATGTGTACAGGGAGCAGTCTAAGAGAATGTTTTTGTGCTTTCATTATGAAGTTAAGAGACCAGGGCCAAGTGTGGGAAAGAGGTAACATTTTCTCCAACCCCAGATTATCCAAATTGAGTGTCTCCGTGTGCAACAACATTTTCCGTGGATTTTTAAGCATACATCACCGATGTATCCACTGTGCATTGGTCACTTTGAAGAGCTGAGGGGTTCCCTGCTTAGACTAGTAATGATGGGAGTTTAGTGGTGTTGTGACTGAGCATAGCCTCCTGGTGGGCCAGTGTATGCACACATAGTAACAACATCTTTGCTGAGTAACTGCAACAACAACCTACAATT